GAAGGATCAACTTTACATCCACTGAGATGATGTACATAACATTAAATCAGCCATCTTATCATTATTTACTTTGTCAAGTATTAAATTTGTTACTTTTTCAGACGTAGTGAAATTATCAGTTGAAGCTGTTTGATTTAATGGATGGCAGTCTTTCTACTCATAGCGTAAACTAAAGCTGATAAAACACTTTCATCTTTATTGCCCCCTTACATATTTATAAAGATCAAAATAAAAAATTAATAATAAAATTTTAGAAAATTGTTAATGGTCAGATATGTATACCTTCGCAAATTTGAAATTATTACGCTGTATACGGTAAAAATGTTTCCTATAAAGTCAGCTAAGAAATTATAGGAAACATAAAAATTTTTTCAATTTAGAATACAACGTTATAGCTAATATATTTGATTATTCTGAAAGTATATTTTAGGTAACATATAAGCAATGGGTAGTTAATTGTAAGCTTGTCATTAATTTGCAAGAGAATGTAGCATATCATGAAAAACATCTGCAGTTGATACCTAAGTATTTGATACGGAGTTCCAATTTCCTCTCGGATACTATTATAAAGCCCTCATAAAAATATACGTACACGCCGAAAACTACACCATTCACGTTAAGTTGTTAATGTAATTTTTGGGGCTCGTTTTTGAAAATATCAATTAATAAAATACTTACGCAACTAGGATTTGCTCTATTAATAACTTTAACGTGACGTATATGCAATTCTATAAAATCAAACGCTAGTCTTACTATTTATTTAAATTGTATTCGCATCGATATGTGAATTCTTTGCTTCAGTATTTAAGCTGTAAACATTAAAATTTATTGACTATATACAGGTACATTTATCGTATTCATTTTATGAGATTGAGAAAATTTATGCATTATTACACACATGACGCTATATAATCTATGTTCAACTTTTGATCTGGAGTTATAAAATTACAATAATTATACGTAACACGCTGAAGGTTTAACTTATAACAAGATTGCCGTTATTCTAATTAATATTAAAGAAGGAAAATTTAGATATTTCGATATCGTTGAGGTATCGTTGAAATAACTTTGCATTAATATTTCTTGATTCGATTACCATATCTAACTAAAG